AAATTGAAATATGAGATCACATAAACAACATGATGTACAATAAGGTGGCCAGTCTAATCATACACACAGATCATTCTAATTGTGTAGAAAGACCACACATACATGTTATTTACCAGTGAAATATGTAACTGCATCAAAAAGAAATATCTCCATTCATTTATTTCAGCCATACAGGCCTGGGATGGGGGAGGAGGAGTTACAGGACACAAGAATCACCAAACTCAACATTGAGAGGAAGTTGTCTCAAGTCTGATGAAAACCATAGTCCATAGTCCATAGGTTCGAATCCTGTCGGGGACTTTAGATTTTTTCCCCATTCATGCTCGGGACAAACTGGTCGAAGTCATCTCATTGTTCACCCCTGACCGAGTTTCACGTTTATCATAATTTCATTTCTATCTCAAGTTTTGTGTTGATATCCAGGATTACCTGATTTATTTAAGTATCGATAAACGTTTTTAACAATTTGAACTCCGCATCTTGCTTTTACCGCGTAGTGACTTCAACTGGGTTTCCAAAGAGTTTTCAGCCAATCACAGAAGGAGTTTAAACTATACCTATCTGAGTTTGTTCGCGATTGGTCCAATCGTGTTGGAACAATGCCAATGTTCGCTGTTGTCGTTGATTTGAGCAGCGCGACAAATGAGCCACACACAAAAAAATTGAACACAGATTCAGGGTTTTCCGCTAGGTTCGAGATTGTTTTCGTCACAGGACAGGATTTTTCAGTCAATTTAAAATTTATTTCTTCAAAATTATCATTTTTTTGTCGCTGGACCGTGAAGCATTTTTTTAACCCACGCTAGGTTTAACTGAAACTATTTTTATCGCTCGCTTGTGGTGCTGTTCAAGCCAACGAAATTTGAACCTAATTACCAGCCAATCAAAAATCGTCCGTTCCAGGGCTCAGCAATCGCGCTACTCGAACATGATCGGTGAGATCAATTTTAATTCTTTTGTTGGAAAATCGTACTGATTGGTTAAAACCTCTCAGGTGGCTCGGTTGAAGTCACTGTATTGTAACTTTGTTCCTTATTAATAAAACCTGACCTTTTGCTCTTCCGGCTGTGTTCATCTCCCGGCAACTTCACACGAAGAACTTTGAAATTCAGGCTGGAATCCTTTAAGCCAGTGGCGATAAGACGTTCACGAGGACAAGCTGTTAAACTGTATACTTCGCTTTCCAAAGCAATCTCACTGAGCAGGTCACCAGACTTGACATTAAACAGCTGAAAAAAATGACCTGTTAATACATCACTGAGGCAGGTAACGTACTCCTCGTCACTGACGAACTTGCATTCAAGGGTGTTAGGACACCAGTGCTCATGATAACGTGGTTTCATTGTGCGGAGTCTTGCTCCCAAAACTACATCGAGGACGTCAAGGACTTCGAAATTAGCCAATACGCAATACTGTTCAGTAGGAGAAAATGTCACGCATCGAGGACGGGAAAAGGGTCCAAAAGGTCCAGACATCTTCCACAAAACAACATCACCACGTTGCATCTGCAATTCCTGACGATCGATGCTTATCACGTGACATTTACTGTTGCATGCAATAAAGAACCCACGAATAGTAATTGTTGACACAATGCCTTCCCTGGTTGTATCTACAATGATGACTTTCCTCTCTACTTCACGCTCTACTAAACTCAGTACTTCACAGGCCACTCGTTCTTCTGATATGGGGATTACTTTATTGATGTACTCTAAATCAGTCCAACGTCGGATGCACTCAGACAACTCAAAATTCCACAGCTCAAGGGTGTCACGACTGGTTTGCAACAAAACACCTTCTCTTACAGCTACAAGATTATATTCATTGAACCCACCAGTGTCTTCAAAAACTCTATGCCCAGGTTTAAACATACGACTTGAAATGTCCCAAGCCATGAGTGTTGCTAGACAGCCATCTGGTTTAGTAATAACAAGCAGCGTCTCACCATTCAACGATAATACGACTTTCAAAACAGTAGTCGTCAGTTTCTCAAGCTGCAACATCTCTATGATGCTACTATCATAAGCAACTCTCAATACAGATTGATTATTCAGCACAAAAGCAAGACTGGGTCTTTGCAAGTCATGGATGGTATCTCTTTCTGATGGGAAGCAAAAGGGATCTCCTAATAAAAATCCGGTCTCACTACACGATTCAAATTCCCACGGCTGATAAGACACTTCATC